GCCCGCCACTCTCCCGCTGGGGGCAGCCACGCAACCCCCGCGCAGCACGCCACCCCCGCCCGCCACTCTCCCGCTGGGGGCAGCCACGCAACCCCCGCGCAGCACGCCACCCCCGCCCGCCACTCTCCCGCTGGGGGCAGCCACGCAACCCCCGCACGCACGCCACCCCCGCCCGCCACTCTCCCGCTGGGGGCAGCGACCGCCCTACCTGCTCCCCGTCCCCTGGCGGTGACCAGCCCGGCGGTCGGCCGCGATTCTGCAGCTCAGCGGAAATCTACAAGCAGCTGCAGGCGCAGATCCAGCCGCCGCGTGTGCTGCCACGCTCGGCGCGCGGCACGCCCCCTGGCGTCGCGCCCGGCGCCGCCGTCGGACGGAGCCGAAGCTTCACATCGCGGCACGTCGCGCCCGCGCCGGTCAGCCGCAGCAACAGCTACCGCAGCGGAGGCGAGCCACCGTCGGCGGCCGACGAGACGGGCTACTTCAGCGATGGTGGCGCCGTCGCGGCGGCGAGCGGTCGTCTACGAGGGCGCGGCGCGGATCCTGGCGTCGTCGGAGCGTGGGGCCACCAGGGGGTGCTGCCGCGACCGCGCGCACCGCCGCGACGCGACGGCGCCGACGACATATCGCACCATAGCAACAGCTGTGATGCAGCCTCGCCGCTGCGGCGTCACTACGCGAGCGACAACCCTCACGGATGTAACAGCACCGCGCCATTCCCCGCAGCGACCCCGCTGGACGGTCCAGCGCCACCGCCGTACGGGCAGCGCGGCGACGACACGGACACGCCCCCGGCAGACATGCGGCTCGTTACGCGTCACACCGACAAGGGCACCTTCATACAGCTCTCCTACCGCAACAACCAGCCGCCGCCGACGTCACCGGGCGCGCGCGTCGCGTCGCGGCTTCCCCTCTTCGACGCAGACGCGCCGGCGGCAGCAGCGGCGCGGGCGGAGAACGTGCAGCCTCGCTGCGGTCCCGCGTCGCTGACGACGCCACACGAGTACCGTCCGCGGCGGCCGCCGACCGTCGCGCCGCACGCGACGTCGGCGATCGCCGACAATTGCACGCTGACGGCGTCGCTGCCGACGTTCGCCGTCTCCACCAGCGGCTCGCCGACCGTCGGGCCTCCTCGACTGCACCACCAGGGAGCGCATGCCGGCAGGCAGCACTTCCACCACCAGGTGGCGACGTCGCCGACGACCCAGCACGCCGCCCGCGATGCGACGACGGATCAGCGCGCGCGTGGCCGTGCCCACCACCAGGTGGCGCATGCGCGTGGTCCCCACGCGTCGGTGCAGTACGGCAACCCACAGCAGCAGCATCTATCTTCTCAGGTCCCGCCCACGATCCCTGCAGGCGCGCCCCCGCACTCGCACCTACAAAAACCAAATGCATATGTCCGCCCGCTTGACGAGCAGAACACTAAGCTCTGAAGCCGTTACTATCAAGAGCGTGTTAAGTATGACGAAGTGATAAAGTGATTATTAGTATGACGTGTGATGAAATATGATATACTTAATACGCTCTTGTTACTATATCCATTTATTAGTCGTCCCTCGTGATTCGCTCGTCGCTTGAACATTATACGAACGACGGCTAATGGCGAGTAAAATATCTCTCTATAAATATGCTGTATTTTATTGAATGAATAAATTATATAGTCTACGACGCTGGTTGACATTTCTGTTACAAGAAGTGCATAAAAGTACAGACAGATATATATGTTATAGCATTACTAATCGAGAAAGTTCAAGTTACCACCATTAGCGGTCTACGAAGCGTTACGAGCGTGTCAGCTATTTATAATAAATAATTATGTAAATACACGAATCGTTATTTGTATTTTCTTTCCTTTGGTGCTACACTCGTGACACAAGCAGTGTTTCTTTCGTCACACAATGCCCCAATGCCAATTAGAAGTACCCACACAGGCGTAAGATGGCGAGGGCAACGCGCATGCGTAGTATTATGCTGCCGATAATAGGGGATGAAATCAGGTGTAATATCGAATATGGGAAGTAAAAGACGGGTTACAGGAATATCTGAAGGGGTGGGTAGATGATCGAATGCATAAAGTGAAGCGTATTGGTTTTGTATTAACTAGCAGAAAGTATACCCGTAGAACCACAGGCACTTGGGACAGAGTCAGTAAAAACTGAAAATAATATGAACGCACATTCACAAATAGGCCCTACTACCGTATCTCTCAATTACAGTTCCACTGTTGCGTCACTGTATATCAACTTTCCTGCATAAAAACCCATGTAAAAAATTTCACGAATGCAGATGACTTTCAGGTAGTTTGATTGCCAAAATCTAGCTAATTTGCATAATAAAAAAATAATAAAAACCCGTGTGATATGTTTTGACTTTTGGGGCCAGTCCTTATTCATTCACATACCAGAAATGAGCAAAATCCATTGAACCTGAACTGACTTATGACCATTTCCATTTTTGCCAAAAAGTGGACGTGGCTCGAATGTAGGTCGACTAGCGTGCTCCAAAATAGGACGTTCAAACCACTCCCATAGGAGTAACAACTGCATGCAATTTGAAACATTTCATTCAGGGTCAAACGGTTCTTGAGTTATCGTTGACCGTAGCCAAATGTTGACGGACGGACGGACGTACGACGGACGACACCCCATGGCAATAGCTGATCTTGACGATGTCAAGGCGAGCTAAAAACGAGTAGGTAATTATACTAATTAATGCAAATGTGCGCAGAACGAATTTGCTGCGAGTACACTACGTTTCCTTACCATTTTTAAAAGCGAGTCATCGTGATAGAAATATCGTCGTTATATATTTTCAACTGTCATATGCACCTACTTTCGGCAGACATTGGTCGTGTGCGAACTGGCTTTGCCTTTATCTGCCAAACGAATTGAAAACAAACTCACGTCTTATCACAAGACCCTCCGCCCCCCGCCCCACACCTACACACAAACAATACACGAAAACCACGCCATTTATTTATTGATGTAAACGTTTTATTTTCAAGTATAATAAGCATATATATATATTGCGTTGGTCCGGGCGAGCCGTGGCACCGCGAGCACACACCACCACCAGGGGGAGCCAGCAGGAGATAGATGAGGTTCCACGTAAAAAACAACCACGTCGATAGTCCCTAGGACCGCGCGAGGACTCGCAAAAAAACACGAACGTACACGCAGCCGTACAGTACAGGACGTTTGCTCTCGCTCGCTCTGCCGCGGTGTGACCGTCGCCACACGAGTCACCTTCCGGCAACAGGGGAGAAAACGACACCGCAAAACTAAGGGATGTTCGCTGTGCAAGGCACATATTGCATGTAGAGAGCAAACGCGTAACCTCTCTCCGAAGCAAAATAGACTTCGGAGCGCTTCTCGCGCCCTCTGCCTGCGCGCCTCTTCTCGATTCACTGCCCAACGTAAATTATTAGTGACGACACAGCATCACTGCGTTGATTCTGTTCTTACACATCGGTAGATACTAGATAGTACACCCAATACCACCAACAACCACTACATCAAGAGCTAATAATAGGTATTAATAGCTCTTGACTACACACACATATATATATATATATCTTTCGGCAGACATTGGTCGTGTGCGAACTGGATTCGCCTTTATCTGCCAAACGAATTGAAAACAAACTCACGTCTTATCACAAGACCCTCCGCCCCCCGCCCCACACCTACACACAAACAATACACGAAAACCACGCCATTTATTTATTGATGTAAACGTTTTATTTTCAAGTATAATAAGCATATATATATATTGCGTTGGTCCGGGCGAGCCGTGGCACCGCGAGCACACACCACCACCAGGGGGAGCCAGCAGGAGATAGATGAGGTTCCACGTAAAAAACAACCACGTCGATAGTCCCTAGGACCGCGCGAGGACTCGCAAAAAAACACGAACGTACACGCAGCCGTACAGTACAGGACGTTTGCTCTCGCTCGCTCTGCCGCGGTGTGACCGTCGCCACACGAGTCACCTTCCGGCAACAGGGGAGAAAACGACACCGCAAAACTAAGGGATGTTCGCTGTGCAAGGCACATATTGCATGTAGAGAGCAAACGCGTAACCTCTCTCCGAAGCAAAATAGACTTCGGAGCGCTTCTCGCGCCCTCTGCCTGCGCGCCTCTTCTCGATTCACTGCCCAACGTAAATTATTAGTGACGACACAGCATCACTGCGTTGATTCTGTTCTTACACATCGGTAGATACTAGATAGTACACCCAATACCACCAACAACCACTACATCAAGAGCTAATAATAGGTATTAATAGCTCTTGACTACACACACATATATATATATATATAATACCAGTTCGGCTCACACAGATTTCATTCTTAACCGCATTTGCACAGATAGTTACTCGTTGACAGAAGAATCAAACTACGCTGGCACAGTCGAACAGTTTTCAGGAGGGTACGTACGCGCGCATGTCAAACATTAATTGCACTGCATTGCGTTTGCATTGCGCGAGAACAAGATTGCGGCTCGGGCAGGCACCGCTAAGTGCCCACATATAGACTCACGTATCGGACATATGAGAGTCGACATGCGTAGTAAACGCTGAACAGACGAAGGCAACGCCCACCGCGTAACAATAAAATTACATGAGATTACCACAACGCGTGCGCAGACGTCCGACTACTAAAAACAACGCCCTCCGCGTTGTACACAACGCTTGTTGCCACGGCAACGATAGAAACCACCTAAATTGGTTTTTATTATGTACAAGATAATCGACTAGGAGGAATAAATAAAGCTAATACAAAAAAAATACCATAACGAATCTCTAAAACAGCTGCGCGGATGAATACGGTTTTCAAGTGATATCATCCTACCTCATTTTTGACGTGGACAGTGGCTAGCCCCATCACATAGACATCTGACAAGCCCGCAATACGGATTCTCCACGTAAGATCTCTTATAACATAGAACCCATAGCCGATATGGGGAAATCAATCGGGTCACGCAGCAAAGGTTTGAAGGACTCGACGTTATTATTCCAATGGGCCTTCGCCGCAGTCCTGAAGGATAGTTTAGTGGTCAGAAAACGCGCCATGGGACCGCCCGTCAGAGCGCACACACAGGCCGAATCACAGCAGCTTGGAATGACTTGAGTTGACGGTATGGTGGAGAGGTGTAACAAGAAGCTATGTTGGGAGATATAGTAGGAAGGTATGGTGGGGAGGTGTAGAAGGAAGCTATGTTGGATGGTATAGCATGAAGGTATGGTGGGGAGGTGTAACAAGAAGCTATAGCATGAGATGTGTAGAGGAAAACTATGTTGGACTACAGGGGAGTGCAACGGGAGGCAGCGATTTTATTTTATTTATTGTACGAGCGAACGTTTGGCTGCATGAGATACCTCCCAACATAGCTTCCTTCTACACCTCCCCACCATACCTTCCTGCTATATCTCCCAACATAGCTTCCTTCTACACCTCCCCACCATACCTTCCTGCTATACCATCCAACATAGCTTCCTTCTACACCTCCCCAACATACCTTCCTGCTATATCTCCCAACATAGCTTCCTTCTACACCTCCCCACCACACCTTCCTACTATATATACCTCCGCTTACTCACCCCCGCCCACACGATTCGCCCACAAATATTAACATATTTTGCCAGCATAAAACAGAAAACGTAGCTACAATCTTCAAACTAAACCCGGCGTGGGCATGTTGCGACATGTTAGAGGGCACTATCATAAATGTTTGACACGTGACCACATACGTCACAATCGCAGCACGTGACCTCGTCGCTATCGCGCACGTCCTATACGTTAATTGTATTTTTTTTCGAGCTATTCGCCGATACATTTCCCACGCACTCTTCCCGAGATCGGACAGGGATGAAGTGTAGTCTGCACCGTAGCCAACTCGTCATGCCTAGAAGAGCAAAGCCAAGCGCGGTCTGCGTTCCGGGCTGTTCGCAATGGGCAGTTCGCCAATGCCGCTCTGCCAATGCCAAGGGGGCAACTGCCTCCTCTATCGCACGCCATCCCGCCCCACCTCCTCACCTCCACCATATGGGAGTGGTTCGTTTCTAGGATGGTGATATTCGGTTGTTCGGTTTGCTTGGTGCAGACACCGTAACAAAATCCCGAGCTGTGCGGTCATGAGCAATCCATCAAAGCCAAGATCAGAGCATGCAGAAATCCCAGACGTCTCCCCCTCCCCCCAGCCACCGGCTCTCCCTCCCCGCAGCCACTAACTCTCTCTCCCTACACAGTGCCGTGCAGGCTTACAGGAACCCGGGTAGGAGCCAGCTGGCGTGTCAAGATCTCGTGACTAGCTCGACCGTGCACACGACTTTCATCAATGTCCCCACCACTGAGCGTAAGAGACAGAGATTGGCGTTGTCATCGTGATGGGCATAGGCATGGCATAGGAGGGTAAGGCGCACAAACCAAACGCACTTTGGTGTATAAGTTCCACGATATATATACATATATTATACATACATATATATATACATACATATATATATATATATACATATAATACCAAGAGCTAATAATAGGTATTAATAGCTCTTGACTACACACACATATATATATATATATACATATAATACCAAGAGCTAATAAT